GCCACGCAAGCGAGCCAGGCGGCCCGGGGGGCGGCTGTCTTCGGGGACCGGCCCGTTGGGCTGCGTGCTGGGGTCTTGCCGGCGGCCCACGCCTCGCCTCAGCGCCTCTTTAGCGCCATACACAGTGCGAGCCTGAGTCCACGAGCGCCCGGGCTCTGCCGCCATGTGCTGCCACTTGCACCACACTCTGACAACCCAGCCGAGAGGACCTGGGCCCCAGCCTGCAGCCTAGCGACCGTGGGACCCGTGGGAACGAGCTCCTGGGACGTCTGCGGGAACGACCAGGCCTGGGGGAATCCCGGCAGGGCCAGATCCTCCAGGGAGGCCGCGGGTTGGAGTACTGTGCCAGTAGGCAGGGGTATTGAAACTTGGCCCTAGAGACCATGTTGTCGGCTGGGGCCCCTATATGGGACTTAGGATGGTCTCCAGGCAGCGGCAATATCACATGGCACAATGGCTGCTAAAGCCCAAGACACCTTAAGGCCAGAATCAAAATCAGCCTCACCTCTTCCCGTGCTGTCCTGGCCACAGCAGGGCAAGGCTGGACTGGACAAGGATCAACCTCCTCCTTCAACTCACAGTCCAGGTGGTGTGTGTGTGTGTGTGTGTGTGTGTGTGTGTGTGTCTGTGTGTCTGTGTGTCTGTGTCTGTGTGTGTGTGTGTGTGTGTGTGTGTGAGTGAGAGAGAGTTCTAAGCTAGCCAGACACTACCTGCTCTATATCCCAGCCCAACCCACTTTAACTACTCTCTATCTCTTGTGTCGTGTCTCCCACAGTCCACACCTAGCCACAAGACTCCATCCTTGTCACTGGCGTCTCCAACCCCAAACTCTTGCCCCTCTCCCCAACCTTCTGAGGGGCGTCCTCCCCTAGCACTATTCCTATTCTAGAGACTGCTATTCCTAGAGACTGCTGCTTCCCAGCCCATCTCATCCTGTGTCCTCCCATATTCTGTTTACCGGTACCAAACAACCTAGCCAGCCCTCTGGGCCTTCACATGGAAAGCCCCGGTGCCCCTCCCCTCTGCTGAGTTTCTCCTTATCCCTCTGCTACTGGGAGCCTAGAGTCGCAACTAGTGACAGGAGCCTCGACCACAAGCAAGTAACTTTCACGACATTGCAGGGGCGGGGGCAGGGTGGTGGAAACAGGGTTTCTCTGTGTAACAGCTCCGATGGTCCTGAAACTGACTTTGTAGGCCAGGCCTCGAACTCACAGAGATCCTCCTGCCTCTGCTTCCCAAGTGCTGGGAGTAAAGAAAGGTGCGCACCACCACCACCTGGCAGACATTTTGTCTTTTAAACGCGGTCTCCTGTAGCTAAAACTGGTCTCAGACTCTGTATATAGCCAAGAATGACTTTAGATTCCTGATCCTCCTGCCCCTTGAGTGCTAGGATTACAGGTGTGTGTCACTATGCCCAGTTTGTACCGTCAGTGCTAGGGACAGACCCAGGACTTCATTCCTACTCAGGAGCCGCTCAACTGAGATACATCCCCAGCTGGCTTGGGCTTTAGTTTAGTTTTTTTAAAAGATTTTTTTTTATAATTATTTCATGTGTATGAGTGTTTTGCCTGCATGTGTGTCTCTGGGCCACATATATGCTCGCAACCGGAGGAGGCGGTGAGCCTCCATGTGGATGTTGGGAACCAGGCACCAAATCCTGGTCTTTCATAAGTGCCTTTAACTACTGAGCCAACTCTCCAGCATGCTGTTGTTTAGTTTGGAGACAAGAACTTGCTATGTTGCCTGGATTGGTCTGGAACTCCTGTCCTCAGGTGTCTCTTGCCTCAGCCTCCAGAGCAGTTGTGACTGTAGGCACCTACCATTACACTGATTTTAGATGACTCTCTGTCCCTTCTCCACAGTGAGGCATCTGAGCCCACAGCTGGCTCTTCTGGGTTGAGTCTGGGACTGGGCTAGGTCCTTAGTGTTGCCAAACGTGCTGAATGTTTGGCGGGGGAATAAATATGTGGATGCTCAGGCTTGAGCATAGCAGCCCCTCTGACCGCTCCTACCCACCCTGGCCAAGTTCCTGCCCTTGCTAACCTTTCATCTCCTACTGTCTTTATTATCCTTTTGCTTTCTGTGGAGCCTCTCACTACTGCCCTGGTTCATTGCCACCCCTGTGCAAATTGAGTTGTGCTTGTGTGTAGCACAGTGGGTTATACATCCCTCTAGAGGGCAGCATCTCCCCGCCTAGCGTTCTCATTGTTACCCCTGGGGCCTTGTTAGCACTCTGGGTGCTCCGTGCCCTGGGACCTCCCAAGAAAATTATAAGGAGAAAGGGCACTGCACTGCATGGATCCAGCAGTGCTGGGAGGGAGCCTTACTCTAAATGCCCGGGTGTGGAGAGGCTAGCCTCTGCACCTCTGTACCTGCACGTGTGCGGAGAGGCTAGCCTCTGCACCTCTCCCTGCACATGTGCATGTATGCAGGGGAGTTGGGGGATGTTGTCTACTGTTTGTGGGCAGCTGGGTAGAGGGCCACATGTTCCCCCTCTAGTTCATTTGTTTCACTCTGTCATTCTCTAGAGCCAGGAGATGGGAACGTGGCACTTAGCCTCTTAGACTCACCCTATTCTCGCTGAGTTCCCTATGTCCCTGGGACCACCTGTATTTGGCCCAGATGAACTCTAGAGCCCATTTACCATGCCCCTCCCCAAACTGCTAGCTAAAATGCTGCTTACTAAAAAGCCCTGAACTCCTGTCCCAGGCCTGCTTTCCAGGCTGTGTGGCCAGAGGAGCTCTATCTTCTCTTAACCAAATCTGCACCAGGAAGCCTAGCAACTGCGAGAGGGGCTAAGGGTGACAGGACTCTGAGCTTGCAGCCCAGCGGTGACAATGTTAGAGGCAGAGGGGCCCATGCAGAGGCGAACAATTTAGTGTTTCTGTGTTTTACTCTTGGGGTGTTGTGAATTAGTCGAGTTACACCCTGAGCCTCTGTGGCGGGTCCCAGGTTGTCCCTCGATAAGACTGCAGATGTGGGGTCTGAGGCTTGCGGCAGGGGATTCAGAAGCCGTGGGATACGTAGCAAGGCTTGGAGAGTGAAGTCCAGAGTGGGTTTGTAGCTATGAGAGCCGAAAGACAAGTGCGAGCGCACAGCCCGGAGCCTCCAAGCTCAAGCAGAGCTCAAGAAGTAGGTGGCACGGCCTGGGACTGAGCACTGGGATCTCTTGCCCCAGTACCACACCGGGGAGGGGTAAGCCTGGCCTAGGTCTGATGGGTGGTGGGGGCTACAACAAATGCCGAGGTCTGGAGGTAGAAGCTGTGGGAGAACAGGCAACCCTGGCCCGATGGTCACTCAGAGGTGTCCCTTCCAAAGAAAAAAGAAATGGGTGAAATTCAGGGGCAGAATTGGAGGACACAGAAGAAGAAAAGAGAGCAGACTGGTCTCTGAGCCTCCTGGGGGCTTCTCGGAGCCTGTCAGCCCTT